ATGTAATGTAGGATGATTCTTTTTTTATGTTGTCTGTTTAATGAAAATAAAAAAAATGCAAAAAAAGAAAAAAAGTGTCAGCTTTCCATGTCATTTTGTAGAAAGAATTTCCCAAAATCTTTGTATTGCTTAAGAAGTTGCTTCCCCTGGGCCACCATCCCACTGGAGCTTCAGCTCCAAGTCATTGAAAAAACTGGGGAAAGGTCCATTGAGTTGATGAGGGTCCAGGATATTTGGGGAAATATCAAAAGGCTGAGGCTCACTTTTTAATCCCTGGCTTTCTTGAGCTAGACAGTCTGTGCTTTGGAATCCAAATGGATTGGAATGTAGAAAATTATCAGTCCAGGCTGAGAGACAGAAGGCAGGAGGTTGTCCTGTGCTGAGTTCTTGAGGGAGATTGTTGCAAGAAGAACGTCGAAACAAGGGCGGCGGTGGGACAGCTAACACTAGAGAATCATCTCCCTCCAAGATAGCATTTTGGCCAACTTCTAAGCTGGAAGGTAGCACTTCTGCCTGTTTTCTGTAGCTTCCTCCACTTCTATAAACTGTGGTAGGTCTCCATTCTCCCAGAAGTCTTGGAGATTCTTGTGGTGAACCATTTGAGTTTTCCTGGGGTATGGTTTCTACCACCAACCCTTCCTTCTGATGAATTGTGGTCAACTCTTTGTTAGTCCTTTCTGGTCTCTGGGCTTTGTAGTGTCCATTGCTTATAAAAGTATCAGACTTAATCCCTTGGTTTGCCTTGTGGCCCTCCCCTTCAATGCATAATCCATACGTTAATGTAGAAGGATTGTCTCCTAGGATACGCGACTGGCCGTTCTTGATCACTTGTGGGGCATAGCCAACTGAAAGACCATTCAAGGGTTGGTCAAGAGGCTGGAATGGTAGCGTTTTGGATTGTTGCTGGTAAGATGTCACTGTTGGATTGAATAATTTTTGGTCTTCTCGCATGCCCTGGATGTGATGGCTAAACTCGGTTGAACATACCCCTGGTTGGATTATCTTGGATAAATCATAAGGACTCTGGGCATGCTCCACATTTAATAAGAGAGGTTGGAAACGGGAAATACTTTTGAAATCCTATCAAGGAGGAAGGTTCAGCATTAGATGCTAGTTCAGAAACTTATTTAAAAAAGATGCAATTTAAAATTTAGATTATTGATTAAAAGTTAACTTATCTTTCCAATTTGATTATTATATATTGATAAATTCAAAACTAAGTTCCAATTATATGTCTTTTCTCCAGGAATACTTATAACACTAGAGCAGTATTTTAAAACCTTGGCAGCTTAACAATATGTGGACTTCAATATGAGATCATAATTCATAATTTATGAGCCAGGTTGGTCTAGTGATTAAAGCACCAGGTCAGAAAGCAGAAGACTGTTCTAGTCCTGCCTTAGGCATGAAAGCCAGCTGGGTGACTTTGGGCCAATCACCAGGAGACTGTGAATTCTAGTCCCACTTTAGGCATGAAAGCCGATTGGATAACTCTGGGTCATGACTCTCTCTCTCAATGCAACTCACCTGTTGTGCAAAAAATAGGAGGAGGAAGGAATACTGAGTATATTCCCCACTTTGAGTTATTTATAAAAAATTATGTAGATGAAAAAAGACAGATGAAAAAAATAACAGAGACTTTTATAGTAATTGAAAATTACATACCAAAGATGCGGGCTGCTGCATGGTGTGTTGTTTAACATACTTATACATGATGTATAATCCAGTTCCAAAGGTAAATATGATTATAAATACAATCATTCCAAACAGATATGGCAGCCAAGTGTTATCTAGGGACCGAAGGCACAAATTAATTAGTATGAAGTCATGCAGAAGAAAAAAAACCTGAGTTGCCCACATCTTCTAGGGCAGGATTGAGAATAATCATCTTTCTATCTGTATTTAAAGGAACCAATAATTTGGATGATCAAAACATCCTCAGTAATATGGGAATAAGAAGGAAAATCAAGATCAACCAAAGATGGCTAAGAAAAGGCTACATTCAGGCATAACCTTCTAATCTAGATTTATATCAATGAGAGTAATTCTTACAGGTAAGTCAAATAATTCTCACCTTGTTCCCACTTGTTTCATTTTCTATCTTGCAAATACCTCATAAAAATGGACAGGGACAAATAGTAGCAAAAAACAAATGCTAAAAATAAACCATGATTTTTATTCAGATATAATGACAGATCATGACTAGAAAATAGCATGGATTATTACTGTAAATAGTCACTTGTTGAAAAAATTGAGCCATGGTTTCTTTTTAAGGATGGGTCTAACAGGGCAAGAGAACCAGACCAACCAGGTTAGGGCTGTATGTACACAACAGAACAATTCTGTTTGCTAATCCAGATTTAAATGTTAGCATGTCTTATGTCACAGTTCAGTCCTTGAGAATCATCTTGATAGTAATAGCAATAGCATTTAGACTTATATATGGTTTTACAGTGCTTTACAGCCCTCTCTAAGCGGTTTACAGAGTCAGCATATTGTCCCCAACAATTTGGGTCCTCATTTTACCAACCTCGGAAGGATGGATGGATGACTGAGTCAACGTTGAACCGGTCAGAATTGAACTCCTGGCAGTGAGCAGAGTTAGCCTGAAATACTGCATTCTAACCACTGGAAGGGAGGGTTCCTGACTGTAGGGGGCGGTGTTCATCCCCGTTTCAAAGCCGAAGAACCAGTGCTGTCCGAAGACGTCTTGGTGGTCATGTGGCTGGCATGACTAAATGCCAAAGGCACAAGGAGCGCTGTTACCTTCCCACCAAAAGTGGTTCCTATTTTTCTATTTGCATTTTTTTACATGCTGTTGAACTGCTAGGTTGGCAGAAGCTGGGACAAGTAACAGGAGCACTAGGGATTCGAACCGCTGAACTGCCGACCTTTCGGATTGACAAGCTCAGCGTCTTAGCCACTGAGCCACCGCATCCCTATGTTACATCTTACAAACATACAAACTGTACATCTGAACAGCTTACAAATGAACTGTAGTAAGTTGAGGACTACTTGTATTTATGGCCATTGGGCAGGAGTGCCCTTGAGATGAGGTATTTCATGCAGAGATCCAGGGAACTTTCTGAGGGGGCCATTCCATTGCAATATGATGACAACTGCTTGGACTGTTAGCAAACTTTGAAATGTTTTTAATTCAAGAAAAGAAAATAGCTCTGCCGAAGATCAAATTGGGCATCAGAACCATACCTGATAACGTCTTTACTCGAAACACATAGGCTGTGCTGATTTTGTCAGAATGTCGGATGTGTATCGTTCCATTATATTCCGTATTGGGATCCAAGTCAGTGATGATAAATTCTTCATTGTTTTCAATTTTTTTCCACTAAGGCAAGAAAGAGAAAGATGCATTTTCCAAAATCAACTGAAAGTCCATACAACAGAGGATCTATGGGGAGCTTATATGTGGCGGTGGGTAATTTTGGATCCCTGATTCTAGCAAGGGGGGGGGGGGGCGCTTCAATTTTTTTTAGCAAGGAGTTCTCTGCCCGGTTGCTGCGTGGGCGTGGCCATGGTGGGTGTGT